TAAAAGGCCTGGACTGAGGATGCAACTCTGGTGGAGGGCCCTTGGATTTAATCCACAGTACCATGTGACGACTGTATGGTACTTTCATGTAAATGCATAGTCAGCCAATGAAACCCATCGGTTTGTTTTCTTTTTTTTTTTTTTGTTTTCTTTTTTAAAGACTTTTTGTTCTTTTTGAAACAGATTCACTATGCATGCAGTTCAGGCTGGCCTTGAATTCACAGCAGTCCTGCTTCAGCCTCCTGAGTGCTGGGATTACAAGCATGTACTGCCACACCTGGCTAATTAACTCATGGGTTCTGAAAACTGGGTTCAGTATAAACTAGATCAAGATATTTGGAAGTTAAAGATTTAATTCAGTGGGATAGCACTTGCCTGGCAAGTTAAGGCTCTAGATTCAGTCCGTGGCACAAAAGGGAATAAAAAGGCAAAAATATATGGGAAAAATAAATCTGACCTAGGGTGCACCTTAGTAGTAGAATGGGACCTTGCCTGGTAAATGCAAGTTTATGGGAGGATGTGTGTAAGTTACATATAAGTAGGATATAGGAGACTTAGTGTGGATTTTGGTATCCTGAGGGTGTAGTAATCCTGGAATCAATCCTCAGATGACATTGAAGAATGAGGGATGTGGGTTGGGGAGATGGCTTAGTAGAGTAAGCACTTGCCAGGCCTGAGTTCAATCCCCAGTTCCACACACACAAAAAAAAGGGAATGTAATTTTCTTTCTTTTTTTTTTCTTTCTTTTGTGGAACTGGGGATTGAACTCAGGCCCTTGTGCTTGCCAAGGAAGTGCTTATTCCACTGAACCATCTCCCTGTCCCCCCTTTTTTTTAAACCAGAGCCTTTGTGCTGAGCTGTATCTCCAAGTTTTGTTTTTCTTTTCTTTTTTTTTTTTTTGGTGGAACCGGGGATTGAACTCAGGCCCTTGCACTTGCCAGGTAAGTGCTTATTCCACTGAGCTATCTCCCCAGCCCTCCAAGTTTTGTTTTGATTTTGTCTTTTTGAGACAGGCTCTCACTCTGCCTTTCAGGCCGGCCTTGAGCTCACTTTATAACTCAGGCTAGTCTCAACTCAGATCCTTGTGTCTCAGCCTCCCAAGTGGGGGGATTACGTGTGTGTGCCACCATGCCCGGCCCCTAGGTCATTTTTACTTTTTTTATTTTGAGATAGGGTCTTGCTGAGTTGCTAAATTGCCTAGGCTTGAGTAGAACTTGTTTTCAGCTTCCTGCTTCCCATTGGAACAGGTGTGCACTACTATACCTGCGCTCCCCCCCCCCCCCAATAGCAAAGCAGATTAAAGGGCCTGCAAGGAGGCGCAGGGGCCGGGGGTTCGATTCCCCAGCCTACTGAACTGGCCCTGACCCTGGGGCACAATAAGATGGCAATGGAGACTGGGCATGGTGGTGCACGCCTGTAATCCCATCTCTTGGGAGGCTGTAAACAAGCAGATCACTATGACTCCGATCTAGTAGTGAGACCCTAAACACCCTGTAGACCGTTCCCTAAAATAAAAAAAATAAAAAAAAACCCTTATGTGGGCTGTGCTATAGGCAAGCACTGTATTGCAGAGCTATACCCTCAACCTTTTTTAAAATGTTCTGAGACATGGTCTTTTTTTATGTATTTAGTACAAGGTCTATAGGGTCTCACTACACAGATCAGACTCATAGTGATCCTCCTATTTTGAGAGATGGTCTTTTTAAATTGCCCAGGTTGCTTTCAAATTTTTGGGCTCAGCAGTCCCCCGTCTCAGCCTCATGAGTGACTAGGATTATAGGTATTTACCATCACACATATTATATATAATCTTTCTGAACTTCGTATTGTCAAATACTGAAATTATCAGTTTTACTCTAATATGTCTTTGACTTAAGCAGCCCTGAGACTCAGAAGCTCAAGAAAGGCACTCACAGGAAAGGGTCTGTCTAGTAGCCTCTCCCTATCCCAGAGAAGAGCCAGGTTTAGACTCCAAGCAAGGTTAGTACAGGAGACACTGATGTGATACTGTTGAGGTAAAGTTGAAATGAGCCAAATCGTGTGTGACAGGAGATTCAGAAAGTGTTCACCAAAGTCCTTATGTACGTAGGAAATTTTCTTGATCTGTAATGGAATTGCATTGAATGTGTACTGTAAGAACCTAAACCGACTTGGCATGAAGGAGACAAACAGCATGAATAGCTCCACGCATGGGGCAGGGTTCTGTATGCAGGACTTGTGCCACTGAGAGATGCCACAGTCCCGTAGAAGAGTGTGGCAGATTGTTCACCTGGAGCAGTGGGGGTTGACCCTGCTAAGGGCTCTGAATTGATGGGTTTTTTAAAAAAAATTTATTTATTTGTGTGTGTGTGTGTGTGTGTGTGTGTGTGGCCAGCTCAGCCCACCAAGGGGCGGGGCTGGCTGGCATGTAGTGCTGGGGGATTGAACCGTGGTCCCTGTGCTTTGCTAAGCTTGTTCTAAGTAGGTGCTTTAGACCACTGAGCCATCTCATCAGCCCCTGAATTGATGTTTTGTGCTGAAACATTTCAATATGCTGTATAGTTGTAGGACTAGAATTTTATTATTTATTTATTTATTTATTTATTTATTTATTTTTGGGCAGAGAGTCTAGCTATATAGTTCAGTCTTGTAGCAATCTTCCTGTCTCAGCCTCTCCAGCGCTGGTATTAACAGTCATGGTTCTGGGGCTGGCATGGCATGTGATATTAGGGATCGAACTTTGGACCTTACAATTGCCAGGCAGGGACTTATGCTGCCAAGTTATCTCCCAAATCCCAGGCCTGGAATTA